CGCTCACCAAGAAGAAACTAGACAAAGTGATAGTGAGAGGGTGATGTTCAAATTCGTGGTGTAATTTGACCAATCGGACGGCAGCAGAAAGCCTTTCCCTAAGCCTCATTGGTTAGTCAGCGTGCCGTCGTGCGTGCATTAACACCTCCTCGACAGTGCCTGTGTCCTGACGTATGCGTTGAAGCCGGTTCGCGTGTCACGACATTGACAGTTTTGAGTGGTAATAAATGTGAATGGGCCACCTACTACCGCACCTTGCCCGAGGACTTGCGAAGTGAGCCGTGTTGATTCACGTCTAATAAGTCCATATTCATCCAGAGGTGTGCATGTTTGGTAGTCCACTCAAATACATTAGTCAAAAAATGCACTCACACTCAACAGCAGTCTTTGCTCCGACGTTTTCCATAGCACAGAGTTTGTGGGTGTCGTCCGCTTCGTTGTTGGTCTCGATGAGGTGCCTGTTTGATGGTAGCTTGACAACAGCAGTTTGTTATTGGGGCGCGGGGCAAGGTACATTCTGGGACAGCGACATCGTCCAACCATAACGACGGTTGATGCGTTTCTGGCAAAAAATATGGGAGAGAAGAAATCAGCCGCTTTGATTGAGCATCTTTTGCAAAAGCATAAATTAAGCACCCATGTACGAGACGGGGCTAAAGCATTAGTCGAGGAGTAGTCATATGCGTACTGAAATGCGACCACTTATATATGTCTAGCCGATCTGACTTCGGTGAGTTGAGTAAATTACACTGAGTGACTAGTTGTTGGTGTGAACAACGATGTAGTGTGAGCGCAGAGTTGTAGTGCAGTGAACAGAGATGAGTGAATCCATGTCACAAATCACTGTGTTGATTTACTTTTTGTCACGAAGAAAGTTGAAAACCCAACACGAAAACCAGGAGATTTAACTTGCCAAGTAGTTCCAGTAGATGGTTAGTAAGTTTCTTCACGTCTCACATCTCATATTGGAGTAACAAAGATCTCTAATTCAGACGACATTCTATCGAAACATTTGCAATGCTGCCAGAAAGATATCTTATCACTGAGACCGAGCCGAACATGTCTAGATGAAACAGGTCATTTCTAAATGTCACGACATATCATAAATCAACAAAAATGTGCAAGGGTGAACATATTGGTCGGTTGTGAAATACAAATGCAAACCACACGCTCTGCTTGATCTCTGCAAAGGATGTGACAGGATTTACGACAAGAAAGAATTGTAATCGACCTAGTCTGCTTGGAAACACCAATTACGGCCTTGTACTGTACGCTCCAAAAAAATAATTATATGGTACGCGTCATCAAGGCGTGAAAGTATGAGGTGCAAGACGTGTCGGGATAGACGAAGGGCCGTTGAAGGGGTAAAGGTATTCTACAGACTACACTGTGCGTCCGATAGCGGACTTGATTCTGTGCAAACTACCCGGGAATTTAACTCGATGACGCATTTACCACGACTACTGGTTCGTGGAGAAACGGAGTTTGCATGTGGGTAGGATATCCAACGCAAACTACAATCCTTTGCGTCTGCTTTGCGTCAGAGAGTCACGTTAAATGGCACTACACAAGTTCTTTTTTTTCAATGAGGAAAAAGAAACTTCTGCATGCATCAAGCAGTGATATGTGACGCGGTACAAGTCATTTAGTTAAATACAAATGCGACGACGAGCTTCCAAGCCAATGCGTTGCAGCAGCCTCTAAACTGCCTAAATTACTTCCTTTCACCACATTTTTGCCAGCCCAGGTTTAGATTTGACGCAAGCAAGCATTTGAATGCAGTTTGCCCTTTCGCTCAATGATCAAATCAGATATTCACGGTGTGATTGCATGGTCATTGCATGCATCAGTTTGCCAATCTTGTAAACGTAAATAGAGAAATTGCCTTCCAAATGCCATCCATGATCGACTGCTTATTCAAACTTTCCGAATGATTTCAGACTACGCTAGCACACATTGCATGTTCACATTGACGTGAAGTATCTCTAAAAGACATTTAAAACAGTGCATGTACGGAGTCTTGACAGAAACTGAAGCTTCAATAGTGGATCTGGTCTGCCATGACTGTACTTAGAAAAACTATAGTCCCAAATGTCGGTAATGCAATGGTTCAAGGAATCAAGTAGTTGGTGTTTACAGCTTAGTGTTAGTCCAGGACGTGTCGGGATAAACGATAGAGACTTCAGCTAAAGAAAATTATAAAAGTCAACAACTGCAGTCGTCAATCAGTTTACGCACATTTACATGAATCAATTCTTCATCGGTGTAGATAACAAAATCCTGATTTTGCATACCATGTGTCACTCAACATTTCACATAGTCACTACGGACACACCGACTATGTAGGGATCCCTGTAAAATTAGGCCGCTTGTGATCACAACAAATTGCGCTATATCACACATCTTTTCAGGGTGTGAACAAGTCATTCGCACCATCGTCAACTGATACCATTGGAAAATAGCTAAAAGATATTAGAGCAGGATAAATCGACTACACGAAGCAGTGTGCATTGGGATGGCTGTTGTGGACGTTGAAAGCAGATTAATGTAGCTGGTGGTAGCCAACAGCTTCAGTGTTCATAGACGCACATAATAGCAATCATCGGAACGAATGCAGTCCATGATATACAATAAATGCATCCTGATAACGTTCATGTCATCGTCATTTTGAGAAGAATGTCTCGATTTGCAGATTCAACTGCACATATTCAACACTCTTATTTTCACCCTTTAAAAATTTCTAGACGACAATCCCCTGAAGATCTTTTAGCTTTGCCCTACACCGTTTAGCCCATCACCTTATGTAATAGCGATCAGTGGTAGCATCTGACTTGGTTGAATGACTTGAAATATACAAATGCTCAAGCTGTGTTTCAACTGCAAAACGACGAATTTGATACACGATCAGTCAACCATCAACTCCTCCAGATATATCAAGCGAAAAACACAACACGCATATTGAAGAGATGTATTGTTCAGAACAATGAGATCTGATGCGTGTGCGAAAAAACGAAACTATTAATTACAAGGCCTCTGCGCAAAGCAAATGCCACAGTCCACAGAATCGTCATTTAGAGGTGGATGGCGTTTTCATGATGGCGAATACTTTGCAGCTAGCCATCGGCCAACATTGAATTGGACAGAATTGCAGTGGTATTGCATTCCTAAAAGCAAAATTATCGATCACGTTATCTTCCCGCGGAATTCATGTCCAAAATCACACGTGAACTAATGCACAACCAGTCATTCGTAGGTAATGAATTCCAATGGACAGAACTAAACGCCTAATCTCATCTGAGGTGGCACATCGTGGCCAGCACTGTTCAAGAGCAGATATGCGATCAGTCGTCGTGACAACTACTTGGGGAGAAAATAATTTCACAACCAAACTACTTGCATAGTCACGTCGACTTACCACTTGACGATTCATGTGCATGAGCTGAGTGGCTCATTGGAGGGTCATTGGGCAAACCAGGACGTGGAGGACGCGACGCAATGTGTTTTTGTGACACAGCAATGTTCGAGCGTACTGCAACATCTTTGTGGACGGAACGGCTGCGCACATCAGATCAAATTCTTGCATCCATTTCGTCGGTGATGGATAATTTGGAAATGTCACAGACACCGAACAGCTGGTGTCGTGAAGAAGAAGCTGCCTTTGCGGGAGGATGCCTGCAATGAGGAGATGGACGAGGCGGTGGTGGTGGTTGCGGCCGCGCTCTTCCAGCTCTTCCTTCCAAGACTCGTAGAGAGTTGCACACGGTGTAGGCGATTAGCAATTCTCGCCTCAAATCGAATCCTCTCCTTGACTTTTCAGTTCTGGTTAATTTGCTTAAAGACAGCTGCAATATTTGTTTGGCTGCTTTACGTTTTTTTACCATGTACCTGACTTCGCAGTCTTGCGTATTGACGTCGACAGCGACAGAAATTAATCAGTTGTGACGGACGATTCCATGTTTAAAGAGGCTGGTCAGCACATGCGCCTATTCAAGTAGTTTGATTGCGAATGCTTGTCTTACAAAATAGTTGCCACGACGATTGTTTGCATATGCAGGTTAGTACTTTGGTGATTGATTTGTAACATCTGATGTCAAATAGGCATCTTGTGGAATTCATTGGAAATCAATTACTTTTGATGAACAGGCCGTGCCTTATTTGAAGTATCGATTGTGCCTCCAGATGACGTTTCTGAAGAATTAAGCATTCTGCTAGCGAAGAGGCCTTACATTAGAATGTTGTAATAAACGCCGAAAACGTCTAGGCTCTTTTTGATCTAAAGAATGCATCTGTTGTATACACACGTAGGGTAATTTTAATTCACAACCCTGAAAATGCTTTTGGTGGACTCATACTTTTTTTTCGACAAAATGCCAATCGCTTGGTCAGCAGTCTTCAAGCGGGAGAAAGCCGATAGGTTAATACGTGAACTGACATAATGGAGAACTAGAATACCTTTTAGAGTTTAGGCGTCTATAGGCTTCACAGAGGCGTGTCAGTTAGCGGAAGGTTTCGATTGAGTCATTGTTTTGATCCCATCTTTGAAATGTGTTTCATGGGGTTGTGATGTGTTGTGCCACTGTGGTGCTGTATTTACCTACTCTCATCATGACTACCAAATCGACGAATTCATTTGAACGTTAATTATGGCACTCAGCGTGCGAAACAACTCACTAAGCGTTAGTCATCCAACTCTACTTGTCACCTGACGATCACAACTCAAAATGACGCTCGAACAGGCTTGTCATGAGTT